TTAAATATGCTGCTGTTTTTACTTTGTGTGTTATGCAAATAAAAAAACATCTTTTGCTTCAAAAAAAAAAATTACTCTTATAGCCATCTGGCCCGACCCTGTCACAATACACACATGTGAAATTTTTAAAGATGTGCTAATCAAATTCTTAAGCACATGGCAAAACTTAAAGCAAGTAATTGTAAATGTTTTAGTATGATTTGGCTCAATGTTGATAAAGCACTCTCCCTGACCTCAGCTCAAAAAGCCTATCTAGCAATCCTGCCAGTAGCTCCCTCTCATTTAAACCAGGGACCACAAGTTGAAGCACCCTGGCTAATTGCTACTGTTACAGCAGTCTCTAAGACACAGGTTATACAGCTACAGAACTGGTGGCAACTTTTTTTAAATTTTTTCCCCTGACAAATGCCGATTTGTCGAAACCCAAACTGTTCATGAAACAGCGTCAGGTGTGAGACATCTGACTTAAAAAAATTTTGGTTAAAAAAGGTTTCAACTCTGTTGAACCAGAAAGTTTTGATGTTTCAAGTTGTTCTGAAGTTTTAGTAAATTTACACTAAAAATGTTAAAATAAGAGAAGTTAAAACTGAGAGAAAACATTTCAATTGACCTGAACTGATTTTTTTTTTCCAGTTAATGACAATTTTTGAGACTTCAACTTCATCCTGGTGTGCGAATGGATGGGAAAAAATTTTGAAATGTCAAAAATTTTCACAGGACAAGAAAACAAATTGCCACTTCACCTTAGTCAAACCAACACCTAAACGTAATCTGGAAACTGTACACCCTTTCCATGTCTTGCACCCCCATGTGTGGTCTGGGCACAATTTGGCCAATAGGGTTAGACATAGAAATACTAGTTTCGCTCTGCATCAGTGGTTAGCTGTTTGCAGATTTTGAAGCCTGGCAATTGCAATAATTCACAATAGGTTTTGGTTATTCCTCAGAAAGAACTCCAGGAGGTGTTACCAGCAACTCTCTGACACTGTATGGGAAGCATGGACCTTGGTGACAACTGGAAGCTGGATGAAATCAACTGGCTGACTCACAGTGGTATTTTTCACTTTGCTAGTGACAGAGGAGGTATGGTAGCTGTGCAGCTTTTAATCCACCTGTTTAATCACTCTATGCCCCAGACCCAAAAACCTTCCAAACAACAGTTTTGTGGAAACCAAAGTGTTTTGCTTTAACAAAAATGTACCACCCAACTCTATTTATTTTCCTTTAGTGCTGGTGATGGCCAGTCTTGGCACCTGTTACATGTCTTGGGAATTGTCCAAGGTATTGCATGGCCTTTATCCCTACAAATGCTTTCAAACTATCGGACCTTGTCCTTTGGCTTAGGCAGCAGGGGCTTATGCAACACAATGTACGGCCAACCTGTGGAACTCATTGCTGGGGGATGTTGTGAAGGCCAAAATTATAACTGGGTTTAAAAAAGAATTAGATAAGTTCATGAAGGATAGGTCCATCAACGACTATTAACCAAGATGGTCTGGGATGCAACCCCATGCTCTGGATGTCCCTAGCCTCTGATTGCCAGATGCTGGGATTGGACAACAGGGATGGACCACTCAATAATTACCATGTTCTGTTCATTCCTTTTGAAGCATCTGGCATTAGCCACTATTGGAAGACAGGATACGGGCTAGATGGACCATTGGTCTTATTCAGTATGCCCATTTTAGATCCATAGATCCTTGGTTCAGTCCCTGGAGACAATGACCACAACCACCAGAACATGTCCTGTTAACACTAGAGATTCTGATGCTATTCAGCAGTCTCTAGCTATGAGGTATAGTGTGTGTTTGTGTTGAAGTGAATAAGGCTGTACTAATAATAAGCTGATAAAATTGTCATTTCGCTGCTTACCAAACTTGGATAGCACTTCACCTGCACTGGTGCTAGGGCTTAAATTCAGCAGGAACCCACTGGAGCAGAGCTTTGGTAAATATTTTCAAACCCATGGGAGCTCCGCTGGAGGTGCCGGTGCCTCCCAGCACCCCGCTAGGTCCCGGGGGACTTAAGTCCGGAGCCCTGAATGGGGGGAGGGGCCTCCAGGAAATAATCTTTGAGAATTTAAACCCTGACTGGCGCTATCCTGATCCTGCAGTCCACCTTTGATAGAGGGGATGTGCTTCATCAGGGGCGGGGTCAGGGAAGATTCTCCTGATGGTGGTCCATCTGAATGCACCAAATTGTGGGTCTAATGTACTTAAATATTTGCACAAAAATGTAATTTCTTTTCCTCACAGTCCAATGTGGGAGTTGCAGGGGAAAAGAAGGCTGTTCCACAATAGTCTGTTTGTTTAAAAGGGTATGAAGTAAGGATGGATAAGGCAACAGATAATTTAAGGTTCCTGGCGTAATTACTTTGTCCATTTTAAATATCTAGACGAAAAACATTTTATATGGTCTTATCTCAATTCCCATTACTATTGATTTGTTGAACACTGGCCATGTGCTCAGGTCTATGTTATTCTTTCATATTTACATTATTGTAGTTCCCAGAGGCCCTGATCCTGTTTGTGCTTGGGGGCTGAACAAATAGTGGTAGACATGGTCACTGCCATCAATAATTTACACTCTAGGAAGACAGGCAAAATATAAGGATAGAGAAGAGAGAGATGATCAGATATAATGATTAGATACATTTATACAATTTGGGTATGTGTGTGTGCACATTTATCAATCTGTGTTCCAATCTACTCTATAGTTTTGCAAATAAATATATTAGATCTGACGGGGAAAAAATTCTAAACATTTTTCAAAAAATTTATTGCATTTTTAGAATTTTGAAAAACACTGAAATTTTTATGAAAATTTTTGAAAATAAATTTTTTTCCACCTGCTCTGAAACAAGCATTGTCTTAGCGAACCCTCAGACATCTCCCGCCATTGTCCCTCGACCTAACCATTAAATGTTGGCTGATGTCTTATTGGCACCATAGCATAGTCTTGCCTCAGCTAAGGTCAGGAAAGGAAGGATGGGCTTGTGGCTGAGGTTGGCCTGGGACTCAGGAGATGTGGATTCGTTTCTCAGCTCTGCCATAAACTTCCTGTGTGACTCTGGGCAAGTCACTTTGCTTCTTTGTTCTTCAGTTCCCCATCTGTTAAGTGGGGATGATTCACAGATAATAAGGCCAGAAGGTACCACTGTGATCCTCTAGTCTGACTTCCTGTAAAACACAGGCCATAGGACTTTCGTGTTTGAATTAGAGCAGTGGTCACCAACCGGGCGATCATGATCAACTGGTTGATCCTAGAGGATCTCCCAGTTGATCGCGATCTCCGGTGGTGCAGCGGGGCTGCCTCTAAGGCAGGCTCCCTGCCTGCCCCAGCCCCACGCCGCTCCAGAAAGTGGCCAGCGCAGCCCTGCACCCCCAGGGGCGGCGGGTGGGGGGGGAGGGCACGCGGGGGGGCAGGGGTCTCCCTCCATGTGCTGCTCCTGCCTGCAAGCACCGCCCCCGCAGCTCCCATTGGCCAGGAACAGGGAGCTGTGACCAATGGGAGCTGCAGGAGCGATGCCGGCAGAGAGGGGCAGTGCACAGAGCCACGTGCCCCCTGTCCCCCAAGGGGCCACAGGGGCACGTTGGCACCTTCCGGAAGTGGCGTGGGGCCAGGGCACGCAGGGAGCCAACCTTAGTGGCAGCCATGCTGCACCGCCGACTGGGAGCCGCCAGAGGTAAGTGCTGCCCAGCGGGAGGCCACACCCCAACCCACAGCCCTGAGTCCCCTCCCAGAGCCACCAACCCATACCCCCTCCTGCACCCCAAGCCTCCTTCTGTTCCCCAAGCCGCAGCCCTGAGTCAGCACCACAAACCCCCTCCTGCATCCCAACCCCCAGCCCTAAGTCCCGTCCTGGTGCCAGCACTCCATACCCCCTCCTGCACCTCAAACCCCCTCCTGCACTCCAAGCCCCAGCCCTGACCCCCCTTCCAAGAGCCAGCACCCCATACTCCCTTCTGCACCCCAACCCTCTGCCCCAGCCCTGACTCCCCTCCAAGAGCCTGCACCCCTTCCCCTTCCTGCACCCCAACACTGTGTCCCAGCCTGGAGCCCACTCCTGCACCCAAACTCCCTCCCAGAGCCCACAACCCACACCCCCTCCTGCACCCCAGCCCCTGCCCCAGGCTCAGCACAGAGCCCCCTCCCATGCTGTGAACCCCTTGGCCCCAACCCAGAGGCCGCACTCCCTCCTGAAACCCAACCCCCACTCCAGCCCGCTCAAAATGAGTGACAGTGGGGGAGAGCAAGCAATGGGGCGGGGGGGAATGGAGTGAGCAGAGCGAGGCTTTGGGGAAGGGGTGGGGCCCCAGGGAAGGGGCACAGTAGATCCTGTGTTGCCCTTAAATTCGAAAAGTGATGTTGCGTGTAAAAAGTTTGGAGACCACTGAATTAGAGCATATCTTTTAGAAAAACACCCAGTAATGATTTTAAAATTGCCAGTGATGGAGATTCCACCACAACTTTTGTAAATTGTTCCATTGGTTAATTAACCTCACTACGGTTAAAAATTTGCATCTTATTCCCAATCTGAATTCGTCTGGCTTCAGCCTCCAGTCACTGGATCTACTTACAGGTTTGTCTGCTAGACTGAAGATCCCAATAACAAAGACAGTATAGTATAATAGTACTTCCTTACCTCACAGGGGTGTTGTGGGGATAAATTCACTGATGTGTGTGAAGTGTCAAGGTCCTTTGGTGAGGGTGACTTGCTAGATTTCAAGTCCCCATGTCTTATCCTCAGTGTAGGATAGTCCCTAGTGATTAATTTTCTTCTAGTGCCTTGTGAGAGTTTCTCCTGTGAGTGTTACAGGTGAAAATTCACAGAGTTAAAGGGCTCGCTTGGTCTGCTATTCAGGAGGAGGGAGAAAACTGGGCTGTAGCCCTTCCCCTCCTCTCCATAGGTTGAAATGTACTCTGGCTACACAACATCCCCATTTGATAGACAAGAGATTTTGGTATCTGGGAGATCAAATCCAGTGACTGAAGGGGAAAGAGTCTCTTTGGTTTCTTTGTTATTTATTTGTCTTTGAGGATCTGGCCTTTTTCAGGGTTTTTTTTCTTTTTAAATAATTGAAAAACAAACAAAAAATCTCACCGAGGGTGGGAGAGTTAATGCCGAATACGTTTGCCTGCTGTGGTTGCCTAGCAACCAGTGGGCAGGCAGGCCGGATGGCAAAGAGGGGCCTGCAGTAGCGAAGGGAGGTGTTTGTGTCCATTCAGGTGGACACAGGATCGGCGTGCTCACTTCTGGAGCCTCTGCTCTGGTTAATGATGCTTCTGGCCAATCTTTGGCCACTAAAAGGGACAGGCGATGGGAGTGGCGGGGCTTCTGAAAAGTCTGGAGGACACAGCAGAAAATGAGGTTGTTGTTTTACATGTGCAGCCTGGGTGTCCCATCACGGATCAGAATGGTGCAGTGCAGCCCCCCAGGACTCTGCCAGCGCAAAGTGTATGGGTGCTGGTGGGACGATGAGGTTTCATTTTGCAGCAAGAATATGCTTTGGTTTTGGGGCTGAATTGACCCAAAGTTTCTTTGACAATTGCTAATTTCCAAACAGACATGCTGAGAGAAAGCACCACCTGGCAGAACTAGTGGCGAGCTAAGCAACGGCCTCACTGCAGTGTTACTAGAAGCAGTTTTATTTCTCTAACAATATACATCTATGAATCAGGCTGCTCTTTCCAGGCATTTGTTCTTCTTCCTGCAGACAATGAGATTTCTGAAGGCGCACCAGCACCACTCAGATTGGATCAGTTGGGTAAGTCCCATGCAGAGCATATATTCCTATGTCTTTTTCTTCTCTGTATCCTATACTGTAATTTGGATGAGAAGACTTAGTTAAAAAATAGGGCAGCTGCTGAGTGCAGTCTGCCGCATAAATGCATCATTACCAGTGGCTCCTTTCTGCATTGCTTTTAAATGCACAGACCAGAGAGGTGGACACTGCTGCATAGTAGGAGATGTATTTAGTACCTTTCTGAATCACATTTGCTTGGGTGTTTAATTTTGTGCCAAGAGCTTGCACCTTTCTGTTGCAGAAAGTGTAAATGCTCCAGGTTTTTGGAAGTGCAGTTAAAGTTTAACCCGTGCCTGGCACCAGCACTTCTGTGACTCTCTGCTCTGATGGTTAGTGCTACAATGAGCTCCCAAAACTTTGTCCTCTGGTATGCTATGTTCCTAGTGGTTAGAGCAGAGGGGAATCAGGACTAGAAATGTGTGAAGTCTGAGGAGTGAAGAGTCCAGCTCCCAGAATGAAATCAGTAGTTCACTTCATATGGGTTGGTTTGGCAGGGTTCGACAAACTTAGGGGAACATACAGTCAGCCCCTTGCTTGGGCTCAAGATCCCACGCACTTTACCTTCAAGTGGGGAACTGGGTGCTGGTGGCCTGCTCTATCCCTGTTAAGTCTTGTAGCTAGAAGTTCCCCTGTTTGGGCTGCAGGGGGCACTAGGTAGCTTCTTGGGGGCCACCCAGTGTAGGCGACTGGCTCAAACAGGCATAAAGGCATTTCTAGGGACTGGGTGACCATCTACCCAAATAATGCAACAGGAAGCAGCAAACAGACCCTGCTGTCGGGTCTATGAGCTGAGGCTGAGAGACACCCCCTAATTATTTGCTTGGGGTCCTCCAGCACTTGCTTTCTAAGAGAGATGATCCATAATCTCTAGCAGGTTCATTAGGACATCGTTAGGCAATAAAGGTCATGCGTCTTCTCTTAACCCCAGCTCAGCAGGGCCCTGGCAGAAGTAGTCTGTTTTGTATCCCTAGCTAGAAGTGCTGTATTGAGGCAGGCCAGAGAGGATGAGATGGACTACATGTTGCTCATCAGAAGATCCTCAACAGGTGGCTCATACCATCAGCGCCTGTAGAGACAGCTGAAGATATTGACCACCTGTTGCCCTGAGGAATGGGGAGAGGGCATGGAGACACAAGAGTGAGTGTGTGTGTATGTGTGGTGGTGGTGTGGGTCATGCTTTCAAGACTGCCTGACAAAATGAAAAATGAGGCAAGAGGTTCCCGGGTAGTTTAGAAGTAGGAAAGGTTGGAGGTGTAATGTGCAGTAAACATGCGAAGTGCAGTTATTCCAAGAGAGCTGACTAAATATGTTCTGGTTCTATGGGCAAGTGGCTTCTCAGAAAAGCTGGTGGCATCACAGCCAGCCTGGCGTGCCTAGCCTGCTCCATTGTCACACTGACAGTTCTGCCCTACTGCCATTGAGCAAGATGGCTGTTCAGCAGCAGGTTCTCAGCGTGGGAGAAGCGGAAGCTGAGGCACTCACAGCAAAAGCGGTTATCCTGAGGAAGAGGTACACTCTTTCCCCATATAACCCCTTGGTGCCAGTGGACCTAGAACAATGGCTTTCCCTTTGTGCTTATGCTTCATACCAAAGTCATCTTAAGTTAGGGTGGTCTCAGGTATGAGCCCAGTGCTCTTTGTCAGCATTCTGCACTGTGAGGGCTCTGGGACCAAGTGACGTGATTCACATTACTAAACGACAGAGAGCAGACCTCTCTAAAACCAAACACGTTAATTATGTTCTCACAGAAGGAGGTGGGCAGAGTCTAATCTGAGGTGCACTGATATTTCAGGACTGTATTTGTTTGTGGTACGACTTTCAACATTCTGTTTAGCTAGACATGCAGAAAGACCCTTCTCTTGTGGTTCCCCCCAATCCTCCCCACTGCCTCACAGAGAGTCATGCACTTTTAAACTTGACCATTGGAGCAGAGCATCATGTCTCACAGAGGGCAACGTTGTGTGTCCATAAGAACGTACAATTTCCCTCATTGGATCATTAAGTTCTGGTATTCCACCTCCAGGAATGGTCATCACATGAACTTCGGTGGGAAGTGAATCTTCCTTCCCCACCACTCACAGTGCACCGTTTGTGCAATGTAGTTGGGGGGAAATGTCTTCCCTGACTCCTTCATTGATCATTTTATGCTCTGAAGCCTGAGATTTGAGTATTGCTGCGAACATACACTCCTTTTTCTGAAATACTGGTTTTCTGGTAAGGAGATTGGATTTTATGGAGACACAACCTCTTTTGGAGACAACATACAGGAACTGATAGATCACCAGCATCCTAAAGTAAAACACAGGGTTGTCCATAGGCAGAATTAAAAATGAGAAACAAGGTGGGTGAGGTAGTTTCTTTTATTGGACCAATTTCAGGAGACCTGAAGAAGAGCTCTATGTAAGCTCAAAAGCTTGTCTCTTTCACCAACATAAGTTGGTCCTATAAAAGCTATTATCTCAACCACCTTTTCTCTCGAATATCCTGGCACCAACACAGCTACAACAACACTGCATAGAAGAAAAATGGTCATTTTATCATGTACACATCTCTACTGTGAACCTCTGGTGCCCAGAGTTTGGATTTCTTAATGCAATGCCTAAATGGAAACTATATTCTAAAAACTGGATTGTAGGGAAGCTCTTGTGAGCTCTGTTTGCTTGATGTCAGGATTGAGATTATTAAAAAATAATCCATACTAGATGGGTGTCTAGTCTAGTGCTGAATATCTCTAGCGATGCAATGTCAACAGCCATCCTTTGGCTGCTTATTCCATTGCCTAACTGATCTTATAGGTCTAAAATCTGCAAATTACTTAAAACGTACTTGCCCTGCTGCAGATTCCAACTCTTCCCTTCGGTGCTTTTCTTATTGATCCCTCACATCTTCACAGTCTTTCTTTACGTACCTTTTGTCATTGTTTTTGCCCTTCCCTTGACCACATCCTCACTAGTGATGGCTGAACCTCAAAAGTTCTAAGATCTGGTTTGGTTAAATGAAACAGCAGAGAGTTTGGATGATCAACTAGCAAGATCTTTTGGACCTACAAAACTAGGCTAACTGTGTCTTTGCCACAAGCTCTAAGCAAGGGATAGAGCATTACTGTGCTTCTCTGAGAGTAGACCAGGAACTTTATTGTGACCTAGGACTCTCTGGTTCCATTCCTGCTCCGAGAAGGAAATAATCTGTTCCAGCCCTCTACTCAGTGCAAATCACTTTCCCTGGTGTGCTGGTACAACTGGCAAGTTGAGGGTGCTCCCACCCAGTTCCTGCTCCCCATCTGAACACTTGTGTGGGAAGGGGAGTAGCGGCTGTGTGGGAACATTCAACGTCCCAGAGGCCAGAAATTATTATTAAACGTAGTTTTGGTTGCACCCTACATTTCCATTGTTCCTTCCAAACCTAGAGTAAGACAGGATCTCACATCTAAACTAGATAAGACCAAAACAGAATATGAGACAACTGTGCAAAAATGGAAGAACAAGGAAAGATTAGAGCTTAGAAGAAGGAAGAGAGTTTTTAGCAAGACAGAGGTGTGTGTGTGTGTGTGTGTGTGAGAGAGAGAGATCGAGAGAGATCTCCTCATTGTCAGATAGTTAGAGACTTCCAAGTACAGAAGTGCTCCAAGCACTTTCATGAGATTCGGGTCCTTCCTGCTTCCTATATAGCTTGAAATATCATGAGAATGGTCTTTATTATGGTATTTGGGTTCTTTTGGCTTCCAGCATGAAACATAATAGAGGAGAAGAAAGTTTAACCAGTTTTTTCCCCCCACAGCTCATAAAAGGCTTGGTTTGGATGATCAGTACTGTCGTCCCTAGCAGTCACCAATGAGTCTGATCCTGCATGACAAAGGGCATCTCCTGAGTCGAGCTTTGCACATTCAGTTTCACAAGAGCATAGGAACTGAGGGTGATGAGAAGCCTCCGGAGGTATTCATCATCTGACACAATTGTGCCCTTTTGTAGCTGCTAGCTGAAGTGTCCCGTACTCATTCCCAAGTTAAAACGATTGTGATAAGCAAGTACTGGAAGCATCATTTTGTCAGGGGTCCACAATGATTAGCCTAAAATGAACTCTTCTCTCTTCTTCTCATCCATTCTGTCTACTCTCCCAAAATTCAGGATTTCTGCACTTATGATTCTGCCTGTGACTGTTGTTCTGTAAATGATGAAAACAGAATATTTCACACTTGCTCTGCAGCCTAGCAGAAGAATGTTGTATTGTCTCCTTGGTGAGCTGTGAGGTGGAATTTTTGGTCTCGGAGAAAGGAAGGGCAACGGAAAGATGCTTTCTTAAGGAGGGGCGTCAGTTGATGCTGCCACAGCTACATCCTGCTTCTGAGTCACACCCACCTGGAAGTGTCACTAGAAATTGGTCTGTTTGCTGCTTTAGGATAAGATAGTTGAATATCAGGATGAAGAGAGGCCAGATGAGGAAAGATGTGTGCGAAGAAAGAGCTCTCTCCCTACATGAGTGGATCAGAGAAATCTGTGATAGAGTAATGGAAATTTGATAAAAGTGGAAAAATAAAATGGGGGGATGGGGTTTGAGATGGGAAACCCACTCTTCCTGACTCCAGATCTGAATGCTTTTGTAAAAGACCTAATACATCTGTGGAAATTCTTAGAGGCTGTGCACCAAATTTCCTGATAGCTGAACACGTGTGATTATCTAGATGTACTAGGGGAGGCATGCTACAACTACTGTGATTGCAGGAAATACAGTTTCTGTGGTACGTTGTTCCTGTGCAACCATTACAACTAGGAATCCAATCCCATTTGACTTTTTTAAAAATCCCTTGCCTGTTTGTTCCCATTGCTTAGTAGCCACCAGCTGCTTTTTTTCCTTGTTGTTCTGACTTCATCTCTGGCTGGAATGAATCCAGGAAGCTAGTGCTCCATTTAACAGAGTCCTCTGCCAGAAACGAAACAGGTCAAATTATTAGAGGAAAGAAAAAT